GCTTTCGGGAATCCCGCACCACACCGCGGACGGCAAACCCAGTCTCTGCAAGGGCATCTACGAACCGATCCATGGCTCCGCGCCAGATATTGCTGGGCAGGGCGTCGTCAATCCGGTGGCTGCCGTCTTGTCGGTTGCGATGCTGTTGCGGTACAGTCTGGGGATGGCCGAAGAGGCGAAGGTGGTGGAGGAGGCGGTCAGGAATGTGATTGAGATGGGTGTTGCGACCAAGGATATCGGTGGCTCGGCCTCGACGAGTGAGGTAGGTGATCAGATCGCGGAGGAGCTGGAGAAGTTGTTGAAGAGGTGAAATGAATCAGGCCAAGATGGCATCTGGGGGAACTGGAGCGTGGCTAGATGGAATCAGCTTGGTGGGATTTAGAATGAAGTTCATATCGCAATTCGGGGGTGCTGAGACCCAGACAGCCAACGGCAGAGAGGAAGACCATATGGGGTGACTGCATACCCCCCTTTTTTCATTTTTTTCATTCCTCCGCTACCTCACTAAGTCTAAGCCAGTTTGCGCAACCATATCAGTTGGCATTTAACTGTTCAGCCCCACAGTCAAACTCACCAAGCCAATGTTTAACTAACTTAGTATAACGAACCAAACCCCCCCAATGCCATCAATCCATTCTCCCAAAACCGCAAGCATCTTCATAAAGGTTCTCCTCCAACCCAACAACATCACCAGTCTCACCGAAGCCAAGCACACCTACTTTACCTGGAAGAATGAATCAACCTCAATTCCCCTCCTTTCATTACCGGGTAGTGTTATCTCTCTCTCTGTCTTTCTCTTTTTCTCTATCTCTCTGTGTCTCTGTTTCTGTGTACGTAAGTGTCGCATTCTCCACCCCCTCCTCATCTTGGAACGGGAGAGACCACAGTCGCATCAGTTCTGATACGTGACCTACCTTTCCTGCAGTTGCCTGATTATCCTGCCTGGACATTGCAACGTACTTAATGTATCTGTACGGGGGGCTCAGGGTATCAGGTGCTGGTGCCTCATTCTTTGCATGCTTAGGACAAGCCGCTGCATTGATCCCCATTCTCTTGCAATGTTTGCTCAAGTTGTGGTGCAGATGTTGTTTAGGGCGCTTTATATGAATTGTCAGTTGTAGCGGACGGATGTGGTTGGCACTTAGTTGCACTGGATGGATTCTTTACTTCCTCACTGCGGCCATCCGACTTTGGAGTGAGGATGCTCTATGTGTGGCGCGAAGATGTAATTCTTGAGGCAGTCATCTGGATGACCCAACTCTCGTTGCTTGACTTGTTTGTAGGGTCATTGATGCCGGCAGAGGTGCAAGACTGATGCTTACCAAACCTGGAGAGACATGTGTTTGTATTTCCTATCTCAGCGTTTGTGTTGCCCATTGGGTGTGGCTCTGCGTGTGCCACTCACAACCAACAGGCGAAATTAATGGTACATTTTGATTCTTTCTTCAAGACCATCGTCTTTAAACAAGGTGCTCCATTCCTAACATTCAACCTGAACGAAAACTCACTCATTCATGAATATTTGGACTGAAGAGTAGATTTGAGTGATTCCACTAACTCACATCATTCTCGATAGTGGTTTGCATCTGTTCATGGCGCAAGCAAAACATATCTCTGACCCTCAAGGCAAGAAGATGTCCTGTAGCAAAGCTGGCGGCTCTCCCCCACCAAGCGTGGAACAGGACCAAAGCTCGAATGAGATGGATATCAAGAACATCTGCTTCGTTGGTGCGGGACATGTAGGTAAGTTCGATTGCTATGGTTCTTCCGATTTTGGCTTCTTGAAAATGAAGAAGAGGCTTCGGATTGTCAAGCTGATATCCTCTTTTCTCTTTCTCGTCAGGTGCCCCCTCCGCCACTGTCCTCGCTTTCTTCAATCCAGCCCTACACATCAACGTGGTCGACATATCTGAGGCATTGGTTCGCAGATGGAACTCGAACTCTCGTCACCTGCCCCTGAACGATGAGCAAGGGTTGTGCGACCTTGTTCGAGTTACCCGTGATGGTACACTTCCTACGTTGCTCTGGACGGATGATGATGGGGCGATGGAGAGGCCTGGAAGAAAGCCGAATTTGGTATTCTCGAATGATGTTAAAGGTGGTGTTAGGGAGGCGGATATGGTGTTTCTTTGTGTGGAGACGCCGACGAGGAGTGAGGGTGAAGGAGCCGGGATGGCAGCGGATACAGGGTCTTTAGAGAAGGCAGTTAAAGACGTTGCGAGGTGGGCAAAGGAAGGTGTCATCGTGGTTCTGAAAAGTACTGTTCCCGTTGGGATGGCCAGGAGGGTAAGGGAGATGGTGAGTCTTCTGCAAGAAAAGCACAAATCACAACATTGTTCGCCGAATACCCTGACATGGGATGAGTAGATTTCGATGATCAGGCCTACCTTGTCTTTCGAGGTCTTATCCAACCCCGAATTTCTGGCCGAAGGAGAGGCAGTTAGGAATCTGCTAGAACCTGATCGCGTACTGATTGGGTTATCAATGACAAGCACTGGTCATGCGGCAGCGTTGGCGCTTGCAGACATATACACCACCTGGATAGACCAAGAGAAGATACAAAAGATCAGCAACACGTCGGCAGAACTTGCAAAGCTGACAGCCAATGCAATGCTTGCGCAACGAATCAGCAGCATTAACACAATCAGTGCCATATGTGAGCGGACTGGCGCCGAGATTGCTGAAGTCCAGACTGCTCTCGGCAGTGATAATCGAATAGGTGCGCATTTTCTGCAAGCTGGGATTGGATTTGGCGGTTCGTGTTTCCAGAAAGACGTCCTCAACTTGGTACATCTGGCCACATCACTCGATCTTCGTGATGCAGGCGATTACTGGTTACAAGTGCTTCAGATAAACCGCTTTCAGACTCGCAATTTTGTGCAGAGGGTCATTTCCAGATTAGATGGATCCTTGGCAGACAAGAAGGTGGCCATTTTCGGATGGACGTTCAAGAAAGGCACCAGCGATGCGCGCGAAACTCGTTCATTCCACGTTGTCAAGGAGCTGCTCAAAGAACCCGTAAAGGAGATCACCATTTTCGACCCTGGTTGCGATCTGGCAGATATCAGGGCAGCGATTCGTTCACCGGGGGGCTTGGAAAGTGGCAAGTCGGAATGTCCTAACAGCAACGTCACGGTTCACGATAATCCGTATTCGGCCTGTCAAGAAGCTGACGCAGTCCTCATACTGACCGATTGGGAACAATTTCGCTGCTTACCTGATCCAGAGAGGCCCTCTGTTGCCAATCCCAAAGACCATGGGGTAGGGGCCGCCTCCAGCCCAGCCTCATACATCTCCTTGGGCCATACGGCGTCTTCAGGGGTCCGCTCAATAATATCCAAGCTAAGCATACGCGACAGTCCCGAACAGAATGACAGGAGCAATGCTTTTACAAATCCTCTTGGCCATTTAAAGCCCGAGTTACCTTGTCCTGCTGACTGCAGGGATTGCAACAACAAGACATCCTTGCCGATGAGTGCAGATGTTCAAGTCGATTGGAAGCGGGTTTCCACAAAAGTCAAGAGCCCTGGATGGGTTTTCGATGGTCGAAATATGGTCAATGTTGGTGAGATGCAGAAGCTGGGGTTCCGCGTTGAAGCGATTGGCAAGGCCAGTGTATGGGAGAGTGACGCCTACTAAGAGCGGGCAATGGACGCAGCATTGGAACTCACTGAGTTTAAATAAGGAAGTGTTGCTGCGCAAGCCTATCTTGGTGGTACGTAGTGAAGCTGTTGGCCAGCAAGAAGATTCGGCATTGGATTAATTCCAACTGCCAAGGCCCTCGAGCTCTGGGTACCAAAGCCGAGGAGGACAACTTCAACGAGTCTTGATTTGGCTCCTAGAATGCTGGTAGTACTTCCATATATGTCTCCAAATCCCAGAAGGCGTATATCATTTTTTGGCTAGCCAGTCGTCACAACGCAGCTAGCGAAAATCTTGTTTAACTACCAGCAAGCCTCTTCCTGCCGGGAATGTGATATGCTTTTTCTACCACCACTCACCCCTCAGCATCAAAGAATGAGTCAACCTCACTCGTCTCGGTATCAGTCCTCTCTAAAGGCCGATTTTTCCCTGTTGAAGGGTTCCCTGAAGCCTGCATTGGCCCCATCAGATTCATGTTTCCCATCTTGTCATTCATGGCGTTAATGTGTTGGTCATCATCCATCAGACTCTCCGACCTTGTCCGATGTTGCGATGAAATATTTTGGTTTGCAGTGACCGCCTTTGCGTTTGGAGCCGAGTCACCAAAATCTATCAGATCATTCCCATCACCAGAGGATTGGGCGGCAGCATTTTGCTCCGGTTGCAAATTGTTATCGTGATTTGGTGCTGCATTGGAAGTGTGAGGTGGAATCTCAAAATCAGAATCTACTTTCTGCCCAGGCAGAATGGGGGTAATGGCCAGAATTTGCTCTGTCATTGTCTTTGGATCTTTACCATCTCTGTTCTCGATCAGCAAATATACGTCCCTAATTGTACGTCGACTCACATTGTGGCGTTCAGAATCCAATCGAGATCCGCTTCTCCCTCTTCAGATTCACCAGGACCAGCCCTTACTCTTCTGAACAACTTGGGCGTCCAATCAATTCCTTCTTCGGCTCTCTTAGCAGCCTCTTCTCGCTGGCGATCTTCGATCTTCGACTTCTCATCTGTTGCTTTCTCGTGATCCCGTGCATTGACTGCCAGCACGGTACTCCGCCATAGCTTCTGACTTTCCCGGTCAGCCTGCTCTTCTAGTCGTCTTGTCCGTGGTGGCGTATGCTTCGCGTTTGTCGCATTGAAAAGTAGCTCCTTGTGACCTGTCACCAGATCTTTGATGTGCATCTCTCCATTCCACATGCCGCTCAGCTCATAGAGTACCTCTCCAGTCTTTTCGTTCTTGATCACGCCCCCCATAGCATTGTAAGTGCCACTAAAGTAACCTTTGGTCTTGAATTCGATGTCTGCGGTCAAGTTGTTCTCAGGACAGCGCACGTAGCTATGATCCCCCAGTTCGTATTTCATCTTGCCGAAAAGGATACCTCGAGCATACATGTTCGGTTGAGTTAGAATACTACCATGAGTTAGCAAAGTCCGCAGCGCTGGCCAGAGATGCGCACTATTTCTCCCCACCTCTTGACTTTCCCCTGTTCAAGAACCTTAGATATGATATACCCTCCATCATGCTTGCAGCTGAGTTGCCCAGGAACTTGCTACGGGGTTTCAGTGTACCATCCACACGGATACCGTGGTCGGGAGCCATAAAGAAATACGAGGATTTAGGTGGATGATGTGATGTTTGTTCAGCGATGTAGTAGCCTCGAGTGTGGTCGGGATACTCCCAGTAGCAGGTAAAGGTCTCGCCAAGGATTGGGTTCAGGGGCTTCTTTACCCCCCTAAATGCTTCATCAGCAGGGCCAGCAGAAGATGTGATATCAACAGCTTACGGAGGTTTGATGTGCCAACCGCTGAGGTAGAATTTAACTACCGCCACGAAACGCTTGATGGGATCGTCGATTTGAGGCATAGGCAGCAGTGTCTCCGGATGCGCCATGAAACTGTGGTCAAGGGTCAATCTTTGATAAATAAGAAAAAGTCACCATGCGCACTTGGTAATTCTCTCCAACATAGACCGTGGCTCTAAGATAAACGTGGGCAAGGTGACGCGTGAGAGATCTGCGCCAGGTCGAAGCTGAGATATGATATGTGAGAGGACTGAGCTCTGGCTGTTAGCTTGCTAGTCCTTGGAGCCGGTTTGTTATGGCTTTACCGTTGCCCTGGTCTGGCTCGACAATGGTAGCATCGTCTTCTGCCCCCCCGGCTGAGTCTGGTCTCATATCATCCGTGGACGAGCGGTTGCCTAGAATCTTCGATCAGTCTCAAAGTACCCAGGGCCAGTATGTGTCCTTACTGTTCAGGCTCGATCGCCTGTGAGCATGATGACTATGTAGTGGCATCTTGAAATCCTTCCCAAAAGCAATCAGCGCTGGATGTTTGTGATTGAAGGCATCAGAAAAGTGTATAAGTATCAACCGGAGCCTCGGCGGGAATGACGCAGGGCTGCGGTGGAATTTGACACGAGAAAGGCTGAAAAGCTGACAGCGCAGCGGGTCAATATTCGCAGTCAACCGCTGAGCTGCGCAATTATTTTGTGCTGCATTCAAGGCGCGCTACATCAAGAACTGCGCAATGTTGCGGTTCTCAGGAGGTCAGATACTGGGACACTGCCAGCAGTCGTGATCATCTACCTTGTCGCAGTAATACTAGCAGTCCGCCGTAGTTGGTTGGGATTTGTCCATCATGGCCCCGCGGAAAGATGCACTCCAACGTCATCGGCCCTTATCGTCAGGACTCTTACGGTATAACTTCAGAAGTTGTGTTACAGCTCACATATTGATATGCTCTGCAAACCTGTCTCTAATCATCTATGGGTATCTAGATTCGTAATGATGACAGTTAAATGACCAGCCATCGAAGGCGGCTCGGGGCTCAATGTCTATCTCCCAAACTCTAGAAGGCTTTCATGGAGAACTCCACTTGCTGATGCTGTATCCTGTTGGACGATCACCCTATTCAGCGTCGCCCCATTCCGATCATGTGTCGTGACTCTCACCACGTCAGCTTTTCAGCTTCTCAGAAATGGCCACGTCTCCCCCAGTGATTCTTCTCAAAAACTCCTGATCCGGCTTGTATAACATGACATGGAAGTGCTCCAAAGCATGCACACTCTTGAGAGACTTCCAGTTCTTGAACCAGATGAGACTATCCCGTGACACGCCATTTTTCCCGCAGAAGGTCTTTTGCACAAATGCATCGATCAGCGCTCTCGATTCTTGGCTGAGATCATTGGTAGTGACATCGTCTTCGAGTTCGAATTTGGTCCAAACCACAAGATGGACAATATCAAGGTCAATGCCGTATGGCCAGTCATTGTAGAGGATCTTGTAGTCGGTGGGGTTCTCGAACGGCGCTTGACCAGAGGGTTGGACAGATGGCCAGTGCAGTCTTTCGTGCTGGATGAAGTGGAGGACGGACCCAAATGTCTTCTTGAGGTAGTGGACAAACTCAACGTATCGTATCAGGTCGGTCGGCGTACGTTGAAACAGGTCGATACGGTTGATTCCTATTGCTGTTTAGAAACCGCTTGTGTAGATAGGATTGCATTCGTAGGAACACCCACTGATGGCTTCCTTGACCTCGCTCCAAGTCCATCTCCGGAAGTCTTCTTCTCTCGTACATATGATGCGCTCGGTCTTTGGCGAGATTATGATGGCACTCTTTGGACAGTCACTGACTGATTGACCTCGTGGAATGGTTATGAATCCCAGAGATGGTGAACCAGGCCGCGCCATGGTCAAAGTGTGAGGGTAGATAGCATGCGGCATTGTGGTGGGCAGGTGCACGAGGAATGGTTGAGGACATGTTTGCGCACCGTGGCGGGCAGGTCACTTATGGCTTGCAACGCAACACCTCCGGTGCTGTGTTTGTCCTCGACGGATCCATCTTGACACACGCCGCCACGTGCTTTGTCTGCAGTCATTCACGTGGAGGAGTAGCGGAGGAACAAAGGAACAGCCTCACAATTGGGGCCGCAATTCGGTATCTTTGTTGTACGGCGCCTAACTAGATTCAGGACTAAGAGCGACTGTCTACGTTGCTTGATCAACGCCTAGCTCCTTCTTCCTTGCAATCCGTGCAGGCTTCCAGGCGGTCCTGGGATCCTTGGATGCGCTACTTCAGACGGCCCGATACGTTACTCGTGGAAGACTTCCGAACTAGTTTCCGTGAAGGGGAAGGCGTTGCTTATCTGATAGCAGCATAAATGCTAGCCGCTCCTATTTCGGTCACACCGACTTCCCACCAGCTGCAGGATGAAGATGAGGCTTGCATGGGATAGTGTTAGGTACACGATTTACATGCTTGCTAATCTGGAGTATCTCGTAAGGTTACTTTGGCCCAAAATGTACCTGGCGCAGTGCATGCCTCATGCAAGAATGCATCACAGCCCAATTGCTCATCCAATCATCCACACAACTTTCCAATGATGAGTCTTGCACTAATGAAAGGAATGAAAATCGTGTCCGGAAAGCTTAAGAAAGTTGCCTTGAGGGCCAGCATGACAGAACATGATCTGCCCAAGCACTTCACCGTACCATGCCAACACATCAGCATCCTCCTACATTACAGTCATCCTCGAACTGTCCACTTGTCATTCAACCAGAATTCGTACGGATGATACTGGCCGAAATGCTGCACAATCTCCTTGAGCCCACAGGGTAGAATGAGTAGGTTGTTGATAGGACAGCCTGCACACCGGTGCCGTATGAGTCTGATGAAACTGGCGACCGCCATCTTATTCTCGTGCTCAGTCAGAGTGCCCACAGGGAACAACGGATCAATCCGCAATTTTTTGGCGATGACGTCCAGCCGATTGTTTTCGGGGGTTCCTACATTTTCGAGCCTTCGCAAACGATGGCCTCCGTATTCAAGATTCAGATATTTTCCCGAGTAGAGATCTTGCGTGATTCGTTGAATATGCCACTGTTCGGCAGCCTTGACCCAGGTGCTGATTGCCATGTCCGGCTTGTAGATTACCAATTCGAGCAACATCTCCCTAGCCTTTTGGTCCACCCAACCAGTCCCAGCCCGAAGTACATCTCGGCTTGTCTCGAGCTGAAGTGTCGGGTCTGGAAGCCATTGTTCATCAGGATCGTAAGGTAACCAAAGGTCGGCATCGGTCAGAAGTCGGGAAGGGAACAAGAAAGTCGGAAGGACTGAGGCAGGAGCCCACCGCTCCCGCGCGTGAACGATGATCTTCTTCTGAATCGCAAGTCGTCTCACCGCAAGATCACCTGTCTTCTCAACGAAATTCTCATTTCCCTTGAGCTTTATACTTTGCCAGATCTCTTGCGCACGTTTGACAATGTCTCCCCGAAGCCGGGAGCGATTAACTCTGAGTTGTTCACATTGAGGTCCGCCCTTCCACGTCTGCAAAAGCTGGAGGATGTAACATTGAACGTTGACAGCAGTCTCAAAGTCGATTCCGATTCTTGCGCGCAGAATTTCGTCGACCATAGGGCGGTACTCATAATTCTGGGGCTTCTCTCTAAGACGGATACTGCTAACATATGCGAAACGTTTAATAAGCATGACAAGACCGGGGATTTTCGAAACTTGGGCAGGATCTGGATTAGTCATTCGAGAATTAGCAGGTATTGTACCGATTCTCGAGCAAATAACATACCCAGCATATAATGATCATAGCATTTGGTGCACCACTTCAATCCCCAAATCTGCTTGTAGCGGCGATATCTTCCAGTGAGCTCAAGGCAGATACAGCATCTCATATTATAGTGTAGGTGACCAGTGATCTCTCGTCTGTAATCAAGCCAGGGTTGGTATGGACCACCTAGGGCCATGACCCTCACCCGCGTAGGAGTTGTCGGATAGAATCGTCGATCATGGGGATGCGTGGTATCATAAGAGAAGTCCAGGTTTAAGGAAAGCTCACTCAAACCCAATAGAACTGGTAGGACAAACCGAGAGCTCCGAGTCGAACCGTAGTAGAACGTTTCATTGCGGAAGTGGTTCGTCCTATTTGAGCTTGTTACTCATGGCAAGATGGTGAGAGGCGTGAAACTTACGATAGTTGCAAAGTCGTGTCCGTCCCATCTCCACTTGTATAAGCCATCTTGCGATTTTCAACGAGCACCTCATCTTGAAAGCTCTCGGGCTCAAGGAAAAGAGCGGCGGGGAGAGCGTCATACCATATCCTATTCGATTGCTGAAACCCTAAAACTTTGTTGATGTCAGGGTATGCAGAGGCGACTTGAATCAGCCAGATTGGTTCAAGATATTCAAGAATGTTCTTCAGGATCTCAACCGGGAATCGTAGGAGCACCGGCCTATCAGGACGAGATGAATGCCGTCCAGACGATGGAGGCTGATAACCAGCAGTAGAAGAATCAGGACTTGGCGCAAGGCTGACATGAAGTACACCCCGTCTCATACGGTTGCGTGTGATTCCTGGAAAGTTTCAGTCATGTCTGATATAGTAATTGTACCTGATACTCACTCTTCATACCCTCAAGTGTAGCAATACTGAGCTTGGCCATGGTTGAAATGCTTCCACCAGACCAGGTATCTGACTTCCGTGGACAGATTCACCAAGACGTAGACGATCCTAAAGTAGATAAAAAGCTGTCAGCACATGATATGGCTATCAAGATATGGTCGAAAATCTGAATAGGTAGAGCACTCGCAACGCGTAGATGATGGAAATTATATGGCCAGGCAGAAGCAAATAAGGTTGGAGGGCAGCTATCAGCCGACCATAGCCTGCAGCAGATCACGCTGACCATGAAGATCGACAGAGAGAAAGTTCATGGGAGGATCAATAACGTGCAAGCATGAACGAGTAGATAGGCTAGTGTTGAAGTTGATTTTGCATCATCGCACGGGGAGAGAACAAACCTCGAGGCTTCAAACCCAGCAACGCAGAGTAAGTTCTGGGGAGAGAGAAAGCAATGGTGAAGTTGTCGTATGTCGAGGGAACAATACAGAGAACCAGCGGCAGTAGTAAATAGATCCCAGGAAAAGGCCAGCGTAGTGAATAAAGCTCTTCAAGGCCCTAGAAGAAGATCGGTACCTTACATCGAAGATCGGCTCTTTCAGGAAATTGAGTTTGGAGAAAACAAATCGCGTGCTGTTTATGGCGTTGGATTAAATCTCTTGATCTAGCTGCGCAGGTGTCATTTGAGCACCTGGGAAGACATGATGTCGAGCGATGAGGCTCCGTATCAAAATTGCTGGCTGGTGCGAGGTATAGGACCATGGATCACTCGTTCGTTGTAAGAGAAACACTCTTTTGATAATGTGTTGAACATCTGGGTCAACCAACAAGCTTGTGATGCAAGTAGATATTATGGCTGATAACACTCATGCCACACGAAGCTGCATACACTGCATGAAACCCCCCATCAGGATGAATTACCAGATCTGGCGACCAAGATCCTCTTCGCCATCCGCTCAGTAATCAAAAGGATGCGCGCTTCACAAGGTATCCCGGCCTTGCAGAAATTGATCGTGTGTCAAGTTCCATTTGCCTGATCAGATATAAGTCTGCAAAAGGTGATTTTGAGACAAGATTGCGCGGCATAGATTGTGCTACGCGACTCGACAGATTTAGGGCCGTAGAAAATTCACGATGTTTCCGGAGTTGCAGCAGCCGCATTGCGCGGTTGATCGAACAACATGCTGAATGCACTTCGTTAATGTCTACCGTATTGGAGATTGTATGGTTATGAAATTGAGGGTTTGTGTCCCGTTCTGATGGTGTGCTCAGAACGGGAGAGTCCAGAGATATTGAGCAAGCTCCGGAGCACCACGAACCTGAGAAAATAGAGCCTTGAGCACGAAGTCAGCCTAGTGATCGTACCTTGCTGATCTCAGGACCATCCGCCTGCACGACATTGACGCCAGATAGTTTGAAAGCTCGAACAGCGTCAGCCCAGCCTTGCTCGAGGTCAACGCACTTGGTGCCTTCTTCAACAACATAGACAGCAAATCCTGCCTTCACAGCGTCCAGAGCCGTGTATCTGACGCAGTAATCACCTGCCAGACCAACAATGAAGAGGCTAGAGACCGCTTTGTCGTTGAGGAGGTCAACCACATTATGACTCACCCCTCTCCCCTCACAATTGAAGTTGCCGAAGGCATCAGCGAAGACAGAATACATCTCGCTCTTTTCGTTCATACCCTTCTGAACAACAACGTCAACTCTCTCCTGCTGAAAATCATCGCTAAAGGCGGCTCCTTTGGTGCCTTGCACGCAGTGAGGAGGCCAAAGTCTTTGCTTCACTTTCTCATCTTCTCTGCCAACAACCCAGTTCTTCAATTCGATGAAGCTTTCGAAAGGTTCATTGTTTGGTGGAGGGTGGTTGGTCGCGAAAGAAATATGATTAGCTGGATGAAAGTCTTGTGTAGCAATCTTGATGACAAATCCCGGCAAAGAGATAAGTGAATTGATCAATGGGGCAAGATCACGGCCTCCAGGAACGGCCAAGGATCCGTCCTGGAGAGCAAGTCAATGCAATGCATCTTAAAGATCTAGATGTCAGTGATACCATACAGGTGGACAGAAGTCATTCTGAAAATCCACGACAATGAGACCAGGTCTGAAAGTTGGCTCCTCACAAGCCATATTTTGGAAAGAGAAGCAGACAGGAGGGGAAAGAAGATCTAAGTTGAAGGTGAATTTGCTCCGTTGTGCTATGGTCCTCTACTATAGTGAGTATGTCCTGCTTCGGAACGGCTAGTAATTTACTGGAAAGAGGCAGGAGATGTACGTAGTATAAACCACTGATGGGCCATTGACGAGTTAGTACAAAATTTACAAGTTGCACCCTCTCACAATTTTGAGCGAGTTTTAGTAGCGTGGTGCTAAGACAAAGCTTGGCAGATGATTTCTTGTGCACATGACATCTAGTGTAGCAACTTGAAGTTGGAAGTGCAATCTTATGACTGCTATCACTCAGTGACAAGTGGTAAAGTTCAAATCAAGTTTCACTAGTCATGGGAAGTCTAGGAGCAGTTTCCAATGTTTTTTTCATTGTTAAGATGCGTGATGCTACTCTGGGTCATTGGTTAGCAGATATCCAGCCCTGCACCGCTTCATGATGCTCCAACGCCTAGAAATGCACCATGAAAATATGTTCATTCAAAAGGACACTTTCTTTGCCCATAGCATCATCTAACCGCTGTATAGCCCGTTCAGTTGCCCAAATTGAAGATTGGGTTGCGTCCACGGATCTTCGGTGCTGCACCTGGTGTGGGTGCTGCAGTTGCTGGCAAAGTTACGAACTCGGTGGTCGTAACTCGCTCAGTCGTGATGACGGAGGTGATCAAGGTCTGCACCGAGATATCTGAGACTGCTTGAGAGCTTGTCGCGGCAGCGGATGGGGTGGTGGATGGAGCATCAGGACCAGGAATGGGTAAGATGATGGTCGGGATGGCCTCAAACGAAGATATGGAAGCCGAAAGAACGACTGACGAGGCAGATGTAGCCAGGCTAGATGAAGCTGAAGCGCTAGACCCGGGAATAGGCGAGATCGTGGTTGGAGCTAATGCAGCCGTGGAAGAAGCAACTGGATCAGATGAACCTGGAGCAGCAGATGATGCTGGGGTACCTGGTACCGGTGCTGATGTAGACGGAGCAGAAGAAGGCGGAGCGGAGTCGGTTGATCCAGTGGCGGCAGGCTGCTCACCAAGTTTGGAGAATTGGTCGGGAACAGCTGCATTTTCAACTGGCTGGTCTTGGACAAATCCACTACTGGCTACCTTCTGAAACAAATCACCAACTGACTGGTCCAAATCGACGTCAATACAGCTCGTATAGGTCTCGTTCTTCCCCTTCGGGAGGCCTGGGTCGATGCCCGCGGCTGTTGGCCATTCCCACACCCAATAGAGTGTGTAAGGTTTACCAGTTAGAGCATCGGAGGGGAGTCTAATATCGGTTTGGCACCACAAGTCGGCTCCCATGAGCTGGTTTGTTGGATGGGCGAACATCTTCTGTCGATTTGTGGATATAGCACCGCCGTTGACTTGATAGCACTGGCCATCGTCGTAGGCACCCTTGGCAAGTAAGACACCGCGTCCATCTCCGCCTTTGCCGTCCGCGGTCCAGACGCCGTGAACATCGTTAAACAACTCGTTGTCCTTTGGTTCGGTGGTTCCGTAAACAAATATGTTGCCGCGGTTTTCAGCTTTGCCGGGTTGATTCTCAGGAAGTGTTACATGGCCGTTCTCTTGGTAGCGAAGTGCGATGTCTGCACCCGGTACTGTCTTCAGGCGAGGGCTTGATTTGGTCTGCGAAGAGGTTGATTTCTGAGAATCTTTGCACATCGGATCATTTGGAGCGCCAGTGATGAGATGGACCAACGGCACGTCACTAAAACCAGGCTCGGTTCGTAGGATGTTGCCACGAGGATATCCAGGCTCACCCACGAATGTGCCATTCGGCGCAATGGCTGTGAGCTGCTCGATCCATGTGTGAGCATGGGCGACGGAAGTAACGCTGAGGATGCCAAACAAGATCTTGCTGATGGATTGTGAAGAGAGCATGATGATGAGGTGTGTATTGTTGTGTAGAGTTGTGGTGGTGAGATCTCTGAGCAATGAACTTCGGCCTGCCGAAAGTTCAAGGAGTTTGATCGAGAGTTTTTCGAGTTTGAGCTGTCTTTCGAGTGGTTCGCAAGTTATATGTATCTCCAAAGAGGTTGCAAATTAGGTAGGATGGACTGCGGCAGAACAAGGAAGAAGTTGCAGAAGATGGTGGTGGAAGGTTTCTTTTAACTGCCAGAGCCAACAATAGGTTGCTAAGTCATAATGTGCATCGATATGACAAAGATTGTGGTATATGAGAAGGAGACAATGACCGAGGGGTGGTACAATGAGTGAATGAAGCGAGAAATCACTTCTTGCGGTCAACGCAATACAACAATGCTAACAGACAAAGGCAGAGATTTGCGCCACGAGCTATTGTTGAGAACAATGCAAAAAGACACAACAGTATTCCACAAAGGGGAAATGCAGACTGTAATAGCACTCGGCACAGTAGCGTATTTCCAAGGGTACGATCATTATGAAACAGCCTTATGGAGAAAGTCACTCGGCAGAAGCGCGACAGGGACAGACGCCCAGCCGGCCAAGTTAGGATATTGTCTCTAAGGGCTTGCATCTGTACAAAGCCACGCATAGCCAATGGTCAGGGTACCAGCTATGTCTAAGCGAAGACATTGAGGAAAGGTCTAGATGGGTCATGTTTCAAGTCACCTCGCGTGGTAGAAGTGTAGAGGCGCTGATCACAACGGCGGCAACAATGTTCCAAATTGGCGATACCTTGGCCAAGACTGTGAAACAAGCTCATTAAGCCATCTCAAAGTGTGATGTTCTAGGGTAATCTTTGATGTCTTGGTAGCAAATGCTCCAGCTGTGTTGTGAGGAAGTGCTACATCGAAGAGTCCACTGATTGAGCATTCTTCAATCATCGAACAACGTATGGGTGGAATAAGTCGATGATGGAGTACTGAGATTCCAGACGCGCTGCAGCCGTAGTGATGATTGAGATAGGTAAAGGGTTTGTTGAATGAGAGGAGGTCAGGATCCCACCTGTAGGGAGCGGGGCTGTGTCAGAAGGAAATTAGTTTTGAGTTTGTCGGGGAATTGATTCGTCAGAGCTGGGAGGCGGCAATCTTACTCCGTGCTTCTTGCGTGACAATAATAATTGGTAGGTGGTACTTATCACTTTCGACTTCTTCGGTCACCTCGTTTACATGCCGCATCTCCAACCAGTCCTCGCTTATTTTACACTCTACCTGCCTACTGAGTCGGGTTCATGAAATCGCTTGCCCATGCTGTCCGGGTGCCCGTCTCGCACCTCACTTCAGGCATTCCTTCGAGGGAAATAAAAGAGTTGGATCATTGTTGCCGCGTTACTCCTACCATCACTCCTATGTCTCTTGGCTCTTGTTCCTTATTTCTCCATCGTAGATAACTCCATCGACAAGACAACGCGCTTCGAGATGGGCCATATCTTTGCTCTTAGGGACCTCGAAAGAGTTATTGCGCTCGGTCACCGTGCCAGTTGTATTGCTCATCGCTTGTCACATAACTGGCACTTCTGGTGGGCCTATTTGGAGATCTGCTCCTTGCTGCGTTGTGCAGTGCGTCAGAATGAACCAGCACAGTCAACTTCGATGGGTGGTGTGGCGAAAGCTGACGAGTTGCTCATCGCAATGTCTCTCTCTATCTCACCTATTGGATAACACATTCGCCATTCAACCACAACTTGCTTATCTCGATTTCGGTGAAGCGGCGCCTATGGGACCGCGCACCGGTAATATATGACCAATCCAGGATAATCCTTGGTCAAAAGTCTGATGCTGAGGAGGTCATCGAGCGTTCATAACCCATGGCCAGACATCGGCTCAATTTAAGCAGTAAGAGTGACTTGAGTTTTCGTCCACTTGGCCTTTGGATGCACTTAGTAATTTGACACCTCCGTAGCGGCACCACTGCAAGCAACGTTAGTGGTGAAGCTTTGGCTCTCTGCGTATTTACCGATCCGAAACCCAAAATTCTGTGACTGCTTACCTATCTGAAGCAAGATCCAGGCACCATTCGGACTATGTCATACACGGAGCATAGCCTGTTATTTGTAAGTTGAGCCCATATGCTTCTGGTGCCTGGAGCTAGATTCGAGGAACAGTCCGGTTGACATGATCCGTGTGGAGGGTATGCTGCGATATTCTCTGTACATTTTCCCTGCCTCAGCGGCACGCAGTCAAATACCTCCGTTCCAAAGAGAAACGACCTTGAGGTTCAGTTTTCAGGGCTATATATTAGATATCTGCTATCGCCAGGTTTCCCTTCCACTCACATTCAAGCGAAACCTTTATTGACCTTACATCCTCTCATACTAACATTAAAGCTGCGATTCTCCAACCCATCGACCAGGTTCCACAAACCCATCCCACCCATCCTCGACCTTCTACCATGTCCGTCCGCAAGATTCTCGTCGCTGGTGCAACCGGCAAGCAAGGCGGGGCAGTAGTCAACGCTCTTGTCGCTAACCCGCCTCCATACCCTCATGAGATCCTTGCCCTAACCCGCAATACCGAATCTGCTGCCGCCAAAGAGCTAGCCTCCAAATCGAACAAGATCACCCTCCTGCCCGGCGACCTCAACGACTGCCAGTCTATCTTTACTAAAGCCGGCAGCAGTGGTAGCGTTTGGGGGGTCTTCAGTGTACAATTGCCTGCCATGGGTCAAAAAAACGTCTCCGAAGATATCGAAGAAAAACAAGGTACAGCTTTGGTCGATGCGGCCCTCTCCTCCGGCGTCAAACACTTTGTCTACACCTCGGTCGATCGCGGCGGATCAAACTCGATCAATGAGCCCACTAATATTCCCCATTTCATCTCCAAGCACAATATCGAGGTCCATCTCATCGAAGCAGTCAAAGATCCAAAGAAAAATCCACAGGGAATGACCTACACCATCCTCCGCCCCGTTGCCTTTTTCGACAACCTGACACCAGACTTTCTCGGCAAAGGCTTTGCCGCCATGTGGAGTAATATGGGCGTTGTACCTCTTCAACTTGTCGGCACGAGGGATATTGGTATCTTCGCCGCCATGGCCTTCTCCAAGCTTGATTCTGACCCAAAAGTCTTCCTCAACAACGCTATCTCCCTCGCTGGTGATGAATTGACTCAAGCCGAGGGCTCGAAGGTCTTCGAGAAAGTTTACGGAAAGAAGATGCCTATCACTTTCGGGTTTGTAGGTAGTATGATTCAGTACTTGGTGAAGGAGTTAGGGACTATGTTCAAGTGGTTTGTAGATGTCGGCTACAAAGCTGACATTGCGGAGAATAAGAGGCTGAACCCGGACATGCAAGACTTTGAGGCATGGTTGAGAGAGGAAAGCAAGTTCAACGAGAACAAATAGCAGCTTCACTACGAGTAGGGACAGGCTGTGGGTAGTTGCTTGTCCCATCTAATTGAGCGATTTTAATCGGGTGTGTGAATTGATTTGAGCATGCAGGTGCGTCTGGTGGGCATGCTCTCCATCCGTGTTGGAGTGTCCGCTTGGACTTCTTCGCACCATCGTTATAGTAAGTTGTTACCACTTACATTTAATATTGCACCCCAGTCAGGAATATTTTCCTTCGGCGAACCCTTCCTCCCTTCTGCCACCTGACACAGTAGTCTTTATGGCATGTCTTTGACCGGTAAATAGTCTTCTTCAGATCATCTTGCGCTCCGTTTTACGTGAAATTCAGGAAAGGCGCCAAAACCCCATGGATAGTGTGTCGTGGATGGTAAATCTACCCTTCGACCCCTGGTCCAGGCGTAGTTTCCAGACTCGGACCCTGTTTCTTAACTATTTGGGTTAGGGCAGAGGCTGGTCATCAGATTGAAGCAGAACCAGTGACAAGCTTCGTCTTTTCAAGATTGGCCCACTTCTCGCGTGCTTCAATATATCTGAGAGGTTTGCAGAACAGCTTGAGAGCGTGCCCTTGGGTAATTTGTTTGTGATTATATCTCTGGTCTGGGAACTCTTGGTAAGCTGGTAGTGGACAGTTTCACAACGCTGTACAACCTGCAGAGGAAGCTCAGACATGCACCAGAAAGTGTCCTGCGACTACAGCAAGACCTACAAAATCATGAAGCCTAGGCCTACCCTTTCATCAACACCAATAACCGCCGATCACTCCCAAGATCCCAACGGAAAGGGCCCAAGGGGACTAGCTGGAGCGGAACGGAGAGAAGTAGAGAAGGAGCGCATGGGTTATTGTATCCAGGGCAATTTACTCGACCACGTGTAACCTCGAACCCCCGTCCCTCCCCGTGCTTCAAACTGTCAACGTCCAGCCCTCTTTGCGTGTTTTACTGTCTCTCCCTTCGAGATGAAAATATAATTATGTTCCCATCCCCACTATACCGCAATACATCGCATTGCATTACATTAGATTACTACTTAGAATAACGTATCATATGCGATGCGATGCGATGCCACATCACACCGTCCCCTTATCGAACGATTCAATGGTCAAAGAGATCAAGGTTCAAGCTAGATGAAAGACAGATAGATGACTGGGAAGCTTTCTCTCCCTTCCTTCCTTCCTCCTTCCTTCCTGCTTCCTTCCTTCCTTCCTTCCTTCCTTCCTTCCTTCCTGCCTTCCTGCCTTCCTGCCTTCCTTCCTCCCCTCCTTCCTTTTCTAGATAGATATACTAAAGGTAAGGTCCAGACCCAAACCAGTCTCCAATATCCAATCTCCAGTTGCTGTGAATGTGAGGCGGATACGAACAGAGCCAGCCATCCTCTGGATCCGGCCCCTATTAGGCAGTTGAATTACTGTAACTAGGGTACCAAAAAAGCTCCATGCCTTCGCTCCGTCAACACCAACGCCAATAGAAACGCCGAAGCCAATAGAAACGCCGACGCCCGGGCTATGCGATTGTGATGAAAATCCTCAGAAGTAGAGGGCAGACGCTGCGCTAGAAAGGGGGAAAACTGGATCCCGAACAAGGATCTGTTCAGTAGACGGTGTTGTGTGTGTGTGTGTGTGTGTGTGTGTGTGGCACAACGAACACCGCGGCCTTTTTGATCTGACCGACGCGGTGAAGAAAAAAACCAACCAAAAAAAGTTCCACTTCTTCCATTTCCATTTTCCCCATTTCCATCTGTCCCAACCACCCACCTCGTCAATTTTCACTTCCCTCGAAGCCGAAACCTGCCCCCACACCCCCTTCACGTATGCTTCTTTCCCTCCTGCTCCATCCTCCACCGCTTCCTAGCCTCCACATCCCCCTCCGCCAACCAGCGACTCGCCTTGACCAGCTGAATGACATTGATGACCTGTTTGCCCAGGCAGACGGGCGCGCTCAGCCCCGCCAGGATCCAGGGGACCGTGCTGTCCATCTTGTTCGCCCTGGCGGCTTCCAAGGCGCCGGCGCTCCAGGGGTTGAGGAAGAGGGTGCTTGGTGCGGGGTTGGCCGGGTGGCCGGGTTGGGTGGAGGATGCGAGGGTGGAAGGGCGGTTCGGGTCGCTGTTGGCGTCGGTGTTGAGGAGGAGGGAAGGCGTGAGCAAGGGGGAGGAGAAGGAGAGGAGGTAGAGGGATATGAAGAAGAGTTCGTTGAGGCTGCAGAAGAGGAAGAGTACGGTCTGTGATGACAACAACAAAAAGGGGGGGCGGTGGTTAGCTATGGTTTAGTGATGAGGAGTTCGTGGCGGCGGAGGTGAAGCCACATACCCGATTCGTGTAATACAGATGCAACACCCGGCTCCTACTCGAGTCTACCTTCTTATGGCTCTGTCCCTGCGCTCCCATGGTCAATGTCGCGTACATGTGGATATAGTGACTGGCCAGGTCCAGGCTGATCAGGCCTTGGAAGGCGATACTCCATCTCGGCCAGGCTGACGCGAGGAACACCAGCAGGCACGAGGTCGTGCAGCGATCGGTCACCATGTCGAGCACTGCGCCGAAGGTGGTGGATTGGTTGTAGCGGCGGGCGGCGAGGCCGTCGAGCGCGTCGAGGAGGCAGGAGATCGAGTAGAGGAGCGAGCATGTTCGGGGGTGGAGCGGCATGTAGTAGAGGGAGGCGATGGCCAGGATGATTCGCGAGTAGCCTAGACGAGATGGTTCAGCTTTTATTGAGCAAAGGGCGGGGCGTCCTTTGGACCAACCGATAACATTCGGGATGAAGAGGAAGATGTTTTCTTCCCTCTCGATGCGCTCGTCGATCTTGCCCACAGTGCCATTCATCTTCGGTGTGCCATTCGCCATCACTTCTTCGAGCTCCGCCACCTGATCTGGGAGAGTCTCTTGAGCTTGCTTGTTCGCCTTCCCTCCCCGTCTCCCAGGTGCACCCATCTTTGGCGAATATGGAAAGCGTAGCTTGAATTATGACAGAGGCTTCCGTACACTCGCGTTAGACCATGTAGCTGCACGCTCGGCACAGACCAGTTCCAGGATGGTGAAGCAATCTCTGCAATGCTTCAAGGGTTTGGAGAGTTGCACGACAAGATCGGCCTGAGAAATTTCGAGATAAGGTGATAAGGTGGCAGTTGGCGTGATGTTAAGTAATGTTAATCTTCGGGCTTCGACCGAGCTATGTTGTGTCATTCAGATGACCACGGGTTACTGTTGATACGATAAGAAGACTGTCCGCTGTAACACGGCATGGGAAAGTAGCTACAATGCATGAAGCTGGTGAGAGTATGGTGATATTGTTCTGATCTGGGAGAAAAGGAGAAAAGGAGGAAAGAAGCAGGTTGGGTAATTGCCTGTTCAGGCGTCTCCGCCTCTCTCCGCTACTCCGCTACTTCGCCGCAGCGAGCAGGATCCGCTGATCGTCAGTCCGCAAGAGAGATCGAGGGATTATTACTACGTATGTAGAAAGAGACGATGCCGCCTATTCCGTATCAACACACAGAAAACATCCCATTCAGATACACACTGCCCAACCTCCTCCCCTGATCATTGCCGTCTTCCTCTCGACTCATTGGCAGAATCCCTCTTCCACTGCCTGCTCTCTTTCGTGCCCATGCTCCCTACACCACCCTCCTGTCTCCTCTCCCATCCTCCCAGGCGTATCACGATACATGTTGCATTGTCGCCCTCTGCTGACACTTCCGTGGCAAAACTGACCACGTCTCTTGCGCCCTGCTCCGGTGTCTTGGCCTCCTTGACGATATCAACAACTTCTTGGTCGTTGATTGTCCCGCTAACTCCGTCCGAGATCAGTACAAGAAATGAGTACTCGGCCGGTCCAAGTTCGACACGCTTGATCTCTGGTTCAGCACTCACACCAATACGTTTCGACGCGATATCGCCAAAAGCTCGAGTATTTGCCAGCCCCGATATGCGCTCTTCGCCAAAAGAGTCAGTCACAAATGTAGCTGCATAGCGACGAAGGCGATCGCTCTCCATAGGCGAGGATGGGTGATGGTTGGTGGTGATCGGTATCCCAGCCCCGGTTGCCGTTGAACATAGAATGATTCTAGTGTCCCCAACATGTGCTACCAGCATTGAGGATGGAGTAGCTGGGTTCCAAAAAGGAGTAGCCGTTGGAGTGGACACTATGGCAACGCTGCAGGTGCTCCCTCCTGTGAAGCGTTTGGGACCCCCAATCTGTCCAGCTACTAGGCTAGGCTCTCCGAGAATATCGTCATTGTTCAATGGACGCTCTGCACGAGTCATGTCAAGCCTCTCGCCTTGCTTATGAGCCTGCGCGGAGACAAAGTCGTAATCACTTTTGAGAAAAGCATAGGTCACCACCTCTTCAATGGCAGCCCCAACAGACGTTTCCTTGCCACTGGCACCCAAGGAAGCTGACTCCTCCCCTAGAGCCTGATATCCACTGTAGAGCGAAAAGTACGCTGGCTTGAACCGACGAAAGTAGCCGCCGACAAGTTCACGCCAACTCGTGACAAGAGACTTCTCCATACACTTGATCTTCTCCTTGTTTGCTGCTTGGATCAGTGGTGGGTCACCTGGATATGGAGGATGATAGACGTCCTTGGCTCCTCTGGACCTCCCGTCGTCACTAGACAGTCTTGTGGTAGATATCTCGTTCTCATGTGTAGTTTCGATAGAGTCTAAAGCTGCTTTGCTACGCTTCAGGTCTTCCGTGTCCCCCTCGTACTTGCCCGGTGCTCGTTTGACTTTCCCGTTGTCTGTTCCATGCAAACTTGATTGCATCTCAAAATCGGCAGCTGACTTTTCAATATACTCGTGTAGACGCTCGCGCAGGTAACCACTACACTCGGCTCCACCATGACCATCAAAGACGCCAAAATAGAAGACTTGGGGGTCTCCGTTGGCACCCTCTCCACCCGTGCCCTCGCCCGTAGATGCCCTGGGATTCTTTGTGATGGATGGTGGCGCCTTCTTTGCAAAAGCAGGAAGCTCGATCACGCCGGCCTGGTGGGAGTCCTCATTATATGGCCTGCTCCCTCGGGATACCGAGACACCAAAGTGATGCTTAGCGCTTCTCAGCGGTATCCGCACCACCGTGGTTTCTCTGCTGATGGATGGATGAGCCGCTGGCGAGACTTTGGAGGACTGCGGCACGGGCTGAGAGTCTTTGCGAGGGAATTTGTGGGCTAGACCACTGGCAGATTTCGAATCCGGGTGTAATGATGAGGATGGCAGGTGGGTGACGAAATAGTCGTGAAATTGTCGACGAGGCGGTCGAGGTCTCCATTGATCCTTCAGATGCGTTCTCGACTTCTGCGGTCGCGTCTGCCGGATGAAGGTGGAAATGAAGCCTGTTGGGAATACTGGGTCAGTAATAGTGACGGCCAAATGACGGCAGATAGTATAATACGAACCATAGCTATCAGCTAGTGTCCATGCCATACCGCCTCCTTGCGCCATGTCCCAAGCTCTTCACTGTCCTCAACCTCTCTACAGCCATACCATCGAGGTCAATGACGGGCGGAATCTGTGCTCGAACGCAAGAACGCAAGAGAAGTGGTGACGAAGTGAAGTCTACTCCGCAGCGGACGCGCGAAGTTTCGGGGATGATGTTGACAGATGTTTTGTCCGTTCTGCCGACCTTCATCCAACTTGTCAACCTCAAAGTCTGCCAATGCGGTTTGGAGCCTGGAGATGTCATGGGGACAGTCATGGGGACAGTTGAAGCTTCAGAATTTGCGTGCAATGACTGAGACCTTCCGATCCTCGAAAAGAAGAGTATTCATTGCACCATCTGGTTGCCCCAATGGCGTGATCCTCTATTTGTCTCGTCTCTGTTTTCTCTAATCTATGGACTGGGTACCATGGCATAATGAGACGCCTCATAGCTTTGCACTGTCAGTCCTACTCTCATTGGTATCCTCTATCTTCTTGCAATCACTGTTGTCCCCGCCGAAGGTTCGAGGCGGTCCATAAGAATCAAAGCTCTCATCCCCAACAAAATGCCAACCTCTCTCCTCACCTTGACTGAGATGCTCACAGCTACTGTTCATCGTGCAGGCCCAGCCTCCAGCCACTCCGCCGTTGGTCCTCCACTCCATTGCCTCTTGCGCCGCCTCTGTATCAGACAACTCTGCGGTCGCTTTACCCCTTCTAACAAAGCGACTCAGCCCACAAGTGAAGCACTTGAAATCCTCCTCCGACGAGTCCTTGGGCATTCTCCCTGTCAAAATCCTCCCACTTGCAATTATCGGTGCCGCATGTCCACAAATCAGCACTGTAACGTCCTCTCCTGCGCTTCCCTTCTCCTCATACTCCCTATCCACCTCCCTGACAATCACCTCGAAAGCCCTCGCCACCCGATCATGCAACTCATCAATCGTCTCTCCATGGCTGTTCGGCAAGACTCGTGACATACGCCCTTCCAACCAAGGAAAGAAACGATCCCGCAAAAACTCCGGATCACCCGAGACAGGCTGCTCAAACGGCGCAGCTCCAAACCACTCCCCCATACCCCTCTCCCCCCGAACCTTACCCTTCCACCCCATTTCCTGAAAAGCTTCAATGCTAGGCTGTAGTGTTTCCGGACATCGGTAGAACAGCGAGCAGTAGATCACGAGCCGGTCTTCCTTAACTTGAGGCAGTAGCAGTTTAGAGAGATGGGCAGCAGTTTCGTGACTTTGGCGTACGCCATGTGAAGCCAGTGGTGGATCGGCCGGGAGATCCGTAGGGAACGGATGGGTAGAGGTATAAGTTTGGGTCTGGGGGTTGAAGGTCCACGCTAAACGATGACCGTGCCGGAGGATGAGGATCTCCTTGACAGGCATGGGATGGAACGCTGACAAAGTGCCAGGAAGCCGTACTGAGGGATCGTGAAAAGTCGGTACAATGTCACAAGAACGAAGCCGGTGTAGGTATGCAAGTAGATCGTGTTTGAGTCGGGTGTGGTGATTTGCGCAGGGCGTCAACCGGCAACAGGTGCGCAAATCTCAGCTTTCTACTGTGCAGAACAGAGGCTCCAGCTAAGCATTCCTTGTAATAAATTTATGTATCTCGATCTTGCCTCAATCGAAGAGGTAGATGAAGGATAATCGTTCTGCTGACCAAGATCTTTGAGTTTGGCTTTACTAGTGATCAATTTTAAGCTACCACAAACGCAGAACTGACAACGGCAATTAAATCTTCCATCGTACTTGAGTAAATAATCATACATTACGAGTAACATGTCGATTGACTGACCTCGGTCAGAAGTGAAGAGGTGCCGTCTCGAACCTTTCATGTGACATACTCTCGAAATTACTCTATTCGCATTCGTGAACAGAATCGACAATGAGCTGGACAGAAAAAACAGAAAGTCTATAACTTTTGAAACCCCTGGGTATCTGTACGGTACCACGCCCTGAAGTGCTAAAGATTAGCCGCGGTGGGCTCCAGTCATGCCTCGACCCGGTGTGTCTTTATGAATAGGCCTTACAAAGGTTAGTTCAGGTCTGAAGCATATGTGGTAGCGAAAACACTTACCCAATTCCCAATACACATCAATAGCAGGATTGAAACCATTCGTAACACGAGGCGGGAGGTTGTTGCGGTGGAATTATCGACCTCAATTGGTGGGGTCGAGATGTTGATGTTCTCCTGTTCTCCCCGTGCGTTCCCACGCTGACCTGAGCTATTTCTTGCATGTCCTGTAGCTGAGATGCTGACTTCACTTTGCCTTGCACCGCTGCGTGCCAGCCACCGCCATCTGACAGTATCCAGGAGGTTAGGAGCTTTGGTAGGTTGCTGACCATTGACGATGAACGATGTCACAACATTTGTTGCATGTGACACTGCCCAACTAACCCACAAGAAGAAGGCCGTTACAAGTGTGAAGTCGCACAATAAGCCTAGCTTGTCGATCCATTCGGTGCCTACCACCGCATCACGGCTTGATAGGCCCAACGAAAGCAAGCCCTTCGTGTCCGCAGCAAGCCAGATATGGTATTGTAGAATGAACGTCTCAAGAGAGAATCGGCCTAGCCAGGCAAAGAGTCCGGAATGAAAATCTCGGAGCGGCTGAGTGGCATTCCTCAGGATTGCAAATGCGGCTATCGGCATTGGTGAAATCATTGGATGCCACCAATTATAGGCGTATTTGTCAGGAAACTTTTGGATAAGGACCAAGTATGTTGGAACAATCACCCCTGACGCGCAAATTGCTGAGACGTGAGCGGCAGTGGGTATTTTTTTGATCTGCGTAGCAAGACAAGTGGTCGAGCATGGCAGACCTCCAGTGATTTGTAAGTGTAAGATCGCTGTGAACATTCCAATATAGACCACATACGCATCCAGAGACAAACGGAAGCGAAGTTCGTGAACATCCACGTTAACTTTGCAGGTCTTTTGCAAAAGTTCAAACACGAACTCCAGAACACCAGGAGTATGAAGGAGGAGCTGAACCACTATTACAGATACGAAAACCTTGAGCACCAGCACTCTAGGCACCACGTTTGGCTGGTGATGAACGCGGATTGTCAGGTAGACAACAAGGAACCAGAAGCTGGAGAGGGCAGGGAAGTAGTAGAAATTGTAGTCAGTCCGCATGACATATGCTAGCAAGCAACTGAGAAGGTTCAAGCGAACAAGCACTGACACAATGCGTTGCAGCGAGAAATTGTTCGTCTTCAAGAAGTATATCGTATGGCCATACCCAGTCATGAAGAGATAAGATGCGACCAGTAAGCGGATGATTTGGTAGACCCAAAGAACATTGGACATGCCAGTATAGTGATATATGAGTATCACAAACTGCATCCAGCCTTTCCATTCATCAGTCTGATCTCTCGACAGGAATTTCTGTCCTAAAGTAGCCCTTGTTGGCTTTGCCGATGTCTCAGCAGATGTGTCGCCTGGTTTCCGCACGGTGAGAACTCCTCCAAGCATTACTATCGTAATCATCTGCAAGAACGTTCGTTGACTTGACACCTTCTGGACCTTGTCAAAGATCAGTGTACGATCCGCCACGAAGCAATACACAACAGCCATGGCTATGATTCCAACCGCTGCTGTTATGCCATTGACCGCTAGTAGGGTGGTAGCAGGCTGATTCAGCATTTTCCGCTTCGATGCACTGTAGAAGGCGTAAAGTATCGTCAAGGTAGCCACAAATATCAAAACCTGCTGTTCTAAATTGATAGGTGGCTGAACGTTGCAGCACGTTTTATCGAAGGGATAATGCTCGAGTGATGGCTCACTATTGCATCTCACGTTCAGGAAGATGTCGGCTTGTTTGTCCGCTACATTCTCAACAATGTGATAGCCGTCCTCTTCATAAGCAGAAGGTTGCTGCCATGTCATCAGAGAGTAACTCCACAGAACTTCAATTCCATCCCTGATGACCGCGTCTCGAAGGTAATTATTCATTGCTTGGATATTTTCAGATGTAAATCTTGCAGCACGCATCGGATCGAGCTGCGAATGGATAGGCGGCGCTACTGGAGCAAAAAGAACAAGGTTACGAATGCCCTCCCGAGCATTCGGTGGTAAAATGATTCCATTCAAGTCTCTGGCGTTGCGTGGAAGGGTTGCAGACACAGAACTGATACCTCGTTCGAATTCATCCAGGAAGGTGGCACCCAGGTCTTTCAAATGCCATAACCCACCTCCTACTAGCATTGTTGTGGGTTTGCTTGAGTTCAAGGGCTCCGCAGCTAGCTGATCACGATCCAGTATGTTCTTCAGCGTCGTAGAGTTGAGGAATGGATCCCACAGGAATTCAATTTCAACAGAACCCTGTTCGAAGTGGAGATCACTATGCTTTGCTGCTGATAAGGACAGTTCCGTAGCTCTTTTTCTGTCCATTTTTCTTACTGCGGCCCAATATACTTGACGTACGGTTGAGTCGCCCACGAACAAGAGACGCGTGCATTGCAGGCATGACTGCATCTCACGAGCACTGTACTCATGCAAAAGGCATCCAGGTGGCTGCCAGTGCAGATATTCATTAGAAACGTACGGGCTTCTCTGTCTGCCTACCCATTTCCCACCTGCTTGTAACGCACCACATTTGTATGGGTCAGTAGCATCTCAAGTAAGGTCAATTCAATCACCGACTATGTTAGGGTGTAAGATCTTACCAATAGAAACATGACGGTAGCCCACCAGTACAGCAATGAGTACAGAGGTGCCAACAAGTAGAATGTGGGTGGCTCGCTCCGCAGAATACAACATGACTTGAAATGCCGGGTCGTTGGCTGGCGTTCTCAAGTATGGGAGAGTACAGCACCTGGATGATGCCAATCGCTACTGACTATTACGAAAGTCAGAACCAAGATTTGCGCTTTGACTAATCTGTCTTCAAGATATGGTGACAAGTCCAGAAAAAAAGAGCCAGGGGCGCTGATAACGTGACTTAGCCAAGCCAACCTTGCTGAGGGTGAGTCGCTCACATATACCAATTATCTATACGAAGTACAGCTCGACAAGCATCTAAGTGTGGTTTTAATCTGGAACAGGAGTTCAAGAGCTGCTAAAATGTCTTGGTGTCTCACTATTGGGAGCATATTGATTTATCAGACTCGTTTAAACAAGGTAGATGATGACAGTCACCAGTAAACGAAAGTTTGCGTTAAAAACCTTTCGTCTCAATAACGAATCTGAGATCTAGTAATCACGCATCGTAAATCTAAGAAGCATCTATTGCAATCTCAAATGCGCTGAAGTATCTGACTGTCCCAACCCAAGAGATACGAATGAATGAAATGTAGATATGCCTAGGAGGGTGGAGCAATTTTGGAGACAATCTTCTCGCAGAGCGCAATCAACGACGTCGCATTGACGATTTCAAGCGTTGCCAGCTCCGCATTGAGCTCCATACGTACCTAATTGCGAAAATCCACCGCGGAAAGCCAATCGAGTCCATAGACTGACGGAGATTTGGCCGGCTCCATAGGCTCAATCAGGCGGAGACTCTTGGTGAAATGCTTGATGACAACATCCACTGCGGCCGCGAGTACGGCGGAAGGATCAGCCTTAGACCCGAACAACCAGCAAAAGAGCTTGAACATCCTTGGAGCCGTCCTTGCTGTCTATGCCGGAGCTGCGCAAGCCGTCGCCTATGAAGAGGCCACCGATGCGGGCATCTCGGAGGAGTTGCGGCTCTTCAGGCTGGGGGATGGGAATGCTGGTGATGAGTTGGGTGGAATTGGCTTTTTTGATGGGCAAAAGCTGCTGGAATATCGACAGGCGAAGGATCTTGCGAAGCAGACTCTCATTGATTCCGGTCCAGATGCTCGTGTCGAGGTTTTGCTGGAGGCCGTCATGATTGTGGATGTACCCAACATCTTCAATGACACCGAGATCAACAGAGCAGGCAGGTAGACCTAATGAGTGCCTGTAGACAGCAAATGAATCAAGGAAGACGTTGCCTGCAGCATAGTTTGCTTGGCCTTTTTGCCCGACGATCCCGGAGATACTGGCAAGCATTGTAAAGAAATCGAGGGGCAGATTCTGCTCCAAAGTTGCATTGTGTAGATTCCAAGTACCTTGGACCTTGCAGGCAAGAGTCTCATGGTAGTCCTAACTTACTTAGCGTCTCTAAAGGATTCATCTCATCATCTAAGCTCGTGCGTGAGTTTTCCATGGTGAGTTGTCGAAGTCGTGGCTCGTCCAGGAAGGTGATATCGGGTTTCCAACCAAGGCGCGTGTATGTGTGAGCCGCATGGATATTCTCACGGGTCTCAAGCCTGTGGTAGCGAAGACCTGTGATCTCGAACACTAAATTCCCAGTCGTAGGGTCATACACAGAACCCGAGGATGAGTAATTCTTCATATCTTCCTTCCGTTCCACAAGAAAATACTCTGATGTAGTGATGGAGATTTCCATGTTCCGGCAGTGCAGGTCGTGAGGCGATGGCAATATTGTCCACTATGGCTGGTACCAAGACAGCATGAATGTTGCTTCGATCTCCCTTCCACAAAGATGGTGCTACGCTCTGGAAGCATCCATCAATGCACACAGGGTGCATTGGGTAGTAGGATTGATCCCATGCTGAAGTAGGTCGAACAAGGGATACAAGCGGTCGACTGTATCATTATCCCGCGGTTGACTCATTCTCTAAATATTTCTGGAAGTGTAGCCCGAAGTTGTATCCTACATCGTGCATGGCCTTGTACCAAAGATGGCCAGGATTGTTATGCTTGAGGGCCTCCAGCACAGCTTGAGATGGGACATCCTCCATGTTCAGCTCGATACGAATCAAGCCGGTGCTGTGCTCGTTCCAGGTCTCGTCGGCTAAAGATGACACTTTGTACCCATACCAGGCATCTTTGGACCCCAACACAGGTGCCAATGCGAGCATAATCCTGTCCTAGTTACACTCGTCTAGAACCAGGGCTCTCGGACATTTGACGTTGCTAAGCCTAAAGCGATGGTCCTCAGGCATGTTGTCATCTTTGGAGAAGAGGGTGTTCATGCTGGTCTGATAAACAGCTTCGACAGCCATGCTTATATAATCCGCTGCTGGAAAACGATGTCATTTCCCATCCTGTGGTCTTTGAGCCACGGCACGTCAATAACATTAAGAATTTTCTTCCACGATGGTGCGTTCCATGAGGTTCCCAGGATCTTGCTACCTAGAAGATCATGATGATGAGGGAACTGCCTGAAGCGCCAGTCCTTGCTTGCCTCGCTCTCATGCCAGTACTTGACAGAATGGTACCAGACGTAGTTGGGTAAGTCTTTTATGACTGCTGCCGTGTCAAAGTCTGAATCATCTCTGTTAACATGAGACATAATCACATTACTACCAGCGATGAAGAATTGTCCGTCCACACCGAACGTTGACATAACAGAATCTGGACCTCTCTTTGCAGCCGCACAGTACTTGGTATTTGTGCCGCCGCCTGGGAGTGATTTCTTGATCTTTGCAATTGGTGCGCCGCTGGGGCCTAGCTCGATTAAGAAGTTTACGCCTTCGCTGCTGGAGATCATTTCTGAGCATGCCTGCTCAAATCGGACAGGCGGAACCATGTCGCTCTTCCAGTATTTGATATCCGTGCTGGTTTCATCCATGTTGCAACCGGTGACAGAAGAAAACATGGTCGCGCCGTCATTTCTGGGCAGAGAAGCCTCGCAGCTTTGCTGGAGCAGAGTCTCATAGTGATCACCGATCACGGCCATATACTTGGAATGATAAGCTAGGGTTACTTGAAGCGTTCTCACGAAATGGCTGTCCTTCTGCAGGCGAGCCTTGACGTTTCCAGTTCAGTCAAGGTACCAGAGAGTATAATGCTGTCAGGACTGTTGTAGCAAGCAATTTGGACAAGCTCTTCTGAAGTCTTGAGATATTCATGAACCTTGGCAGGGCCGACTCCAACTGAAAGCATACCTACTGGCACGGCGGACTGATTGTTGCAGTCAGTAGCGGCCTGACCTCTGAAATAAGCAACGTTGATAGCCTCTTCTAAGTTAGCCAGCAGCACAGACGGCTGCAACCTCGCCAGACGAATGACCAACGAAACTCTGGGCTTTAACGCCTCAACATTTGAGGATTTTAAGCATGGCAAGCTGAAGAGCAGTGACCAGTGGCTGCGAGGACTCTGGGAGGCAAAGCTGGTCTGGGTTACGAGCTTCAACGAGCTCATTCGATAACGACCACTTAGGCGGCATAGGCAGATTTTGGAGACCCTCGTCAAGACGGTGAAGTAGAAGCTTACTTGCGGGAGAGTTGTCGATAAGACCATTCCCATCTGGGACCACTGGGCACCCTGGCCTGTAAAGACAAATCCAACCCTGGGTGCCTCCGCGTTTTTTTTGCCAAAGAAAAACTGGTCTTCATCAAGCTCAATAGAATGTGTTGTCATGTAAGCCCAATGAAAGCGTTTTGTTCTTTGCACAGATAAGGTAGAGTCTAGAATTTTTAACTTGATGCTGACACTAGGATTGAGTAGATGTGTGGGTAGTGCTTTGCAGTAAGCCTTGAGAGAATCTTCATCATTGGCGGACAATATTAGTAGATGAGGTCGGATTAAGTCATCGTCATCAGCAAAGCACTCGTCGCCATTTGAGACGTAGGAGGAATTTTGAGCAGAAGGAGGTCTCTTAGGTATTGCTCAGCGTCCTCCAAGACAACGTCAGCGTTTGATCCTCCATAGCCGAAGGAGTTCACGCTGGCTCGGCGAAATAGAACATCCGGCCACTTGATGGTAGTCATTGTAGCGCGGACTTTCATTTCTGCGAAGTCTATCTTAGAGTTCGGATCAACGAAAGTTGGATTACCAGGAACAATCCCCTTCTCAATGCTCAGAATGGTTTTCAGCAGATTGGAAATCCCCGCAGCAGGCCCTGAGTGCCCGATGTTGCTTTTAATCGACCCTATTATGAGCGGTTTGTCGGTAAAACGAGTAGGTGAAAAGACTGCTGCGGCCCCGGCAACTTCGATTGGGTCGCCCGCTAGAGTTCTAGTAACATGGCACTCAAGGTAGCTTGATTCGTTGAGATCCGTAATACCTACGTTGGCGTAGGCGGCTCTGATAGCTGCCGCTTGAGCTTCTGAACTCGGTGTCGCCGATGTGTTCCCAGGCCCTTACCGCTGCCGGTACCGGACGCTGACGGCGGCAAAGGTGGCTGCAGCGCACAAGCGCGTGCTCTCTTTGGTTGGGAGGCAGGGCGGGTTCGATGTTGTCATGAGGTTTACCCAGGTGAGTTAATTCGCATTGTCTTGGTTGGAGGTCCGAGGCTTCGAGTTTCCTTCTCCTTGAGGCCCCCGTCCGGTTATTACGTGCTGCTTTATGGAGAATAACGGATAGGAGGATGGGGAGAGTGACAGCAGTTCCATCTGTGAAAATTATACAGCTCCTCTACTGGTGCAGCCCAAAAGTGAGTTCTAACGTGACGCTAAGACATCCCTGGTAAAGATGTACAGATTTACCTGGCTTTTCCTGCAATCCCACCCATATTTTAACCTCATTTACTGGCATTCTATTGGTCAATATCACTTTGCAACGACTTTGATTGGACACTGGAACTCATTTCTCGGCGGCACCGAGTAGTAAATTATACGGCGTTCTAACTGCAAACCCTTATTTTAAATTTACTATTTGAGACATGATACAAAATTGTCCGCTGAAATTGGTTGCTTATTATCCCATTGGATTTGGATTTGGATTTGGATTAGAATGCATAGTGTCAGCATACTATTTCACTGCCTTCAAGCTCGCTGTCATCAACCCTACATAATTCTATACCCTTCCAAGCTCGCTGCCTTCAATATCCTGCCTGATGTCATTGTTTCAAGCACTCAGTAGCCTCAAGGTTGGTAGTCTGCTAATCACACACCAACCACAACCAATAGCGACGCCAACGCTATTTTATTCGGTTGTACGAAATACAACGATCACAACAGTTGTAAGCTTGCTGTTGCATTACATCGTGACTCTTGGTTGCGTTTTTTGCGCTGTTTTCGTTGTGCAATGGCTGTGGTGACGTTTTAACGTTTGCGAACGCTTTCAATATTTCTATTCCGGGCCAGCTACTCTAATATCACTAACTTCCACTCTCGGTTGGCAGAAACCCAATCGCTTTCACTGATTGTACAAGACCCGATTCGACTTGTTACATTCAGCTCCGTCTCACTCCACCTAACTACTAGTAGATTTAGGGATCCAACTTCCTTGCCCAAGCAGTAATGCCTTGACACAACAATGAAATCCAGCGGTATTTGATCACCAGTAGTTCCCATCATGTGGCGGAAAAAGCCATTTGCCTTGTCGAGCAGTGTATCCTTGCCGTTGATGTCGACAAATATCTTGCTTGACCTAGCCATTCGCGTTAAGAGACTAGCATGACTTGTCCAAAACACAAGACGACCAGATTCATGGAAAGGTTGATTTATGGTGAGCGTGTCGTGCATTGTCTTATCCATTTCGGGTGCCAATTGAGAAGCATGCAGAGACCTATTGGCCAACGAGTTGTTCCCTTTGGCGCGGATTGAGATCGGGCTGGGTACTATTGTAGTACCTTTCCACCGCCTTCTCATGTCTTCGAAGGGGTCCTTAGCAGCTTTCGAAACCAAATTAGCGCTCTCCGACGATGATGCAGCTCCTTTAATCTGTTGCACCCTACCATCGATCCCCAGCTTATAAAAAACAATCTCGGGGCTGCTTGCTCCTCGCAAGGTGCTCTTTTGCAAGTCATCATCGATATAATACCCGCCGATGAATCCTGTCCACCCCAGCCAGGACCAGCTCGGAAAAGGCACATGATGTACCTTGCAGTAGTCTTTTCGACGCTCTTCTCCATATTCCCAAGTAAGCGCCTGATCGAATCGAGTGTGAGGTAAGCCCCAATGAAAGACTTCACTTTCTTGATATGCCACACGACGAAGGATTCCGGAAAAGCTAGATAAAGCGTCGCCCTGATTTGTGAGTTGTCGATCACTGAACTGTGTTATGTAGTCACCCAACGCCTCTATAGTAAACTTAGGGTCTCCATCGTCCCACTGATCATTACATCCAAGCCTCTTGGCCATGACCCAGTAACGAGGTTTCTCAGGTTCTAATATCGTCTCCTCATTCCAAGTCGCCATCTCGCACACCCAACACACCTGATCCTGGGTAAAGAAAAGAGCGCGTCGAGACAGAAGTCGTTCTTGTAAGGTCCAACCGCGCGAGTTCCACGTGGAATGCTGAAGGTGGCGATCATCGCCCTGCGCGAGAGTTTGCATCAAGGACCAGTTTTCACTAATTCGTACGGTCCCTTGTTTGGCACTTCTGGTTCCTTCCGATATCCCTGGCAAGCCTGCTGCAACATCCTTACCACCAGCAGCTATTATGGTTAGTAGTGCCCCAGCATAGATCAAGTCCATCTGCATAATCTGCTCTGCCTTTTCAATGTCATCGTCTTGGGTAATACACAATGCATCAACCCAGAGGTATCGCTCTCCCAGTGCCACTACCAGTTTCATTGCATCCGCTATAGTCTTGGGCACAATTTCCTTGTCAAATCCATCTACCTCTCGAAACTGTGCAATATTCGCAGTTGTACTTCGGAAGGTTTGGCATGCTCCCCAAACATAACTCAGAGCCAAGTATCGGCATCTCGGTGGCGCATTAGCAATACACCTTCTCTTCACATCTATAATCTTCAGAGAGTTTGACTGTTTCACATTCCCCAACCACTGTGGAGTGCTACATTTTTTCCCATGGCGATCCTCACACTGGCGAAGCCAATTCTTCAGAGTTTTCGCATCAACCTGATCTCCGACCAGGCGCCCCGAGCCTGTGAGATCATCGCGTTTATCTGAGCCAGCCATTAGTCCAGCGTACGGCTGAGACATAATCTCCCTACGCTGTAGCTCTGGATACGGTTGAGGGTCAAGGTGCACAACAAGGCGATTAACATCGACGCTGCATCCAGCTTGCCCCCGGTGAATTGCATCATACAAAGAACAGAAGAAATCTCCTTTTATCAAGCACTTCACGCGTTGGCCCTCCTTTGTGGTTGGCGGTACTTCCCCAAAGTTGATTCTTGTAGCAGCTTCAAGAGCAAGAGCGCAGAATTGACAAGAAGGCGAGCGGCGAATTAGATCATCTAGAAAGCCGAGATCAACTTCTTTCGACTTGCTTGCATGAGTGAAGTTTTTGCTCAATTTCTCGAACAGAATTGCTTCAAAGTCAATCGAGCTGCAAGTTTCACACAGATATGGGTCGTTCTTTGCCATGATTGGGCCTTTGAAGCGTGTGAATGCGTATTGATGGTGGATAGAAGGAGGACAACCCTCAAAGGATCTACTACGGTATCAGGCAGAAGTATTCATAGCTCGTTGATAGTAGAGGCTAGTTTTCTTTTACAGCGCCACAATCCTGGTTGCACCCGCTGAGAGCTTATTCTATCTTTGGCCATAAACAAGAGTTGGTGAGCGAAACGTGGAATGCGAGCGTAGGGTGTCTTTCGAAAGATGACGGACCCATTGAGCCTGGCATATTCGTTAGCTTTGTGGGAAACACTACTAAGAGACATGCTATAGAGAACGCCCAAATTTCCAAAGCAGCTTCAATTCAAATGAAGCACCTATGGCTCTCATGACAGATCTTCCAAGATGGTAGAGGAGTCAGATACCACATTCGCAGGCAAACGTGGCGAACGCAGGTCAATGTACCAAAGCTGTAACAGACGCTCTATCATTGGAAAATCGCAGTATGTTGCAAACAGCTTACCCTACCAAAGTCTGGACTGGATCGAGCCCGAAGTTTTCGATGACATTATCAACATAGAAAGAGATGAAAAGGAGCAGGATTGACCAAACGAGATAATCAACATTATCCCCTGTATCACTGAATTAGGATCATTACTCTTAAGTAATTTTAGTACTCCCGTGAACTGGAATAGATTAAAGTGTATAGCCTTGGCAACAACAACCTTGAAGTCTTGAAATTTTTTCTTTGGTGTTCTTGCTGTCTAGACTGCACCTTTTTTGGTCAAGACTAAAATTTATGTTGGTGTTTCTTTTGCCAAGAATGATTACGTTCAGATGCGGAAGAGCTAATCTATAAAGCGTAAAGCTATGGATTCGGTGACACAGGGGAATCTTCGTGGTATAATCAACATTTCAATCAGTTACTCACATTACGAGAAGGATTTTATGCTAGTTACCCACCATCAAACTTACTGCACAGCACCAATCGTGACGAGGAATTCCTGAAGTATCAAATGAGTCCACTAGGAAGCAGTCACTCTTGGACGTAGGAACACGTCTCAGCTCGCGTTGCCGGTTCGGGTATGCCGCCGCTGTAGCCGCCAACCGGGTTTACCTGCCAATAGGAAGCGCGCTGGGGAGCAGAATACATTGCATCGTAATGGTAGCAGCTTGATTCTGACCTTTACATTGATGGCAACGACTTCCATTGTTAGTCTGCATGCTTTGGAGCAAGAGCTTCAAAGGGATCTGATTGACTAGCCGTAGGTCAATGCCCCCAAAATTGAGCAAGTGAAGATCAAGAAAGTACAAACATCGTTCCAAGTGTATGAGTGGGTATCTAATGCAGTCGCTATGCTAGCAATTCGTAAACTCCCATTCTTCAGCTCGTAAGGCATGCATCATCTGCGTTCATCGTATCTCTGGCTCACCCATCCAGTCCGCTTCCTCCATACCAAGGATCTCCTCTTCTTCCTCTCTATTGCCAGCACTGCCAATCGAAGCATTGTCCGTTTTACCACGAATGACGCCCTTCTTGATGAGCTTCCTGCTTCCCTTGCCAGCATTTTCGTCTCTTGCAAAGACTTGAAAGCCTCGGACGTGGGTGTCCTTTCCATTCTGGTGATTCTCGCAGATACGAACTTGAACCACCATGCACTTGAGGACGTCTCCACCTGTAGCTGCCTGTATGTCATCCTCGTCCGCATGCTCTTCAGTGCCGGACAACATATCCTCCGGTGTTTGGGGGTTTGAACCCAAGCCAGGTTTAAGACGGGATCCCGCTCTGGAGACGGAGCTCTTTCGTGGCTTTCTTGGCTGGGGTGTAAGATCTGTCCCGTGATAGTTGGTATCTCGACCGCCAACGCCTCGCAAAGATATATCGATCCACCCTCTCACATTCTCGACACCGCTTGTACTCTCTCCAGTTTCTGGGTCCACATGTTCTTGAACCTCCCATGTTGCAAACTCTACCAGACCACCTTCCGACATTCCAGCAAAGAACATCATCTTGGTGGGTGTGTAAGATTCGTCAAGATCAAAGTCCAGGTAAACTCGCATCTTCACAATCGCCACCAGCTTGAAAAAGTGTAAGGTCAGAGTATGAGGTTGAGGTCCATCGCTTTGCCAGAAATGTGAAGGGCTTGGGTGACGTAGCTGGGGAAGAGCACACCCTGGCTTTGACGAAGACAGCGTCCACGTTGCGAGCGACGAGATGTCACGTAGACCGATTAGCTGTCGAGTGTCGTCCGGATCGTGGGGTACTGACTCGAGGAGCGAGTCATCATCTGCTGGATCCGCGTCCGACATGGTTTGGTCCATCCTAGTAGCGGGCAATTGTGAGCTCTCTTCAGCCGCGCCATTCAGTGTTGGAGTGTGATAGTGACGAAGATTGTGGTGATGTTGTGGTTCGTCGTTGGAAATGATAGAAGTTCGAGGATCGTTAAGTGGCAGTGGAGTAGTAAGGAACGGGGCATGAGGTGGAGTTTGGAGCATCACAGGTGGGATACCGCCGGCGATGCCATTGACCGTGTTTGGAGGACGAGTGGGTGTGGTTGCTGCCTCTCGAGGAGGGGGAGGAGCTCGTCGGGGTGGTCGAGGCATTGTGCCTGAAAGGTTTGGGCATTGACTACCGTAGCCTCAAGAGTCCTGGCCGTACGGCCTTAGATAGACATATCTGTCGAATTCCACATGATGATATCATGCCTTCCGTAGTCACCGCGTCTCAGGTCATTGCAAATATGGAAATGCAGATGACGGAACAGCAATGTGCTGCGTCACATAGTTAGATCCTGCTTGGACTTGATCAGTGTTTACTCTGTACTCCGTACAGCCTGTGCCAAGCCTTTTCTCCTTTCCTCTACACCTTTTCGTGTCACGTTGCGCGCGTCTTTAGAAGGGTTCCGTCTCCAACCATGTGGAAATTTAATCATGCAGGCAGAGAACGTATCTTCTCACTTGGTCACCTACAGAAGAAGTAGAGAAGCAATGATAGCAGCTATGGGACACTGTTATTATGACGGAGAGCACAATGGCTTCTGACTGCTTTTCCGACTCAGTCTGCCAACGAGTATATCCGATCCAAATCTTCTCCCTCAATGCAATCTACTTTGTTCTTGATAACGTTCTCCACAGCAGTACCAATATCCGTATCGCCTTCGAGTAGATCAATCCATCGGCTAGCATCGTTCCTCTTCAGCAGAGCCGCTGCGACCGCTGCGACATCTCCTCGACGAACCTTCCCTCTGGACGGCGTTTTCCCCATCAGCACTTTTCCGGTGGCTGGATCATCAGACAAGCTGCCTGGCCGCAAGTTTATGGCCTGAAATTGCGGGTCCTTTTCGTTACGCTTCTTAGCAAGAGCCGCCAGATATTCATCAGCCTCGACCTTGGCTTTGTAGTAGTCTGGCAGAATCTCCCGATTGACATGCTCCGCGGACTCCCAATCTTCATCTGTCCACCACGGTGCGCGGTTTCTTCGACTAGCGATGTACGACACTATCATGAACTTGGTAATACTTGGTGTCTCCACGGCTGCTTTGATATAATGCTTTGCGGCGTCGCGGTCAATGGCGTATGTCCGTGACGGGCCGCCTTTTCCACCAGCCCCTGAAGATGTGTCATTTACAGTTCTAATATCATCTTACGCACAGAAGTCAGTGCGTACCAGCAGAGAAGACCACGTAGTCAGGATTTGTTTTGTTCAAGACTTGCTTAGCCTGCTCAGCACTTCGAACATCCTCCAACGATTCGATAACAACATCCACGTTCCCCTTCTGTCCCTTCCCCAGCTCCAGTATCTCATCTCGCTGACTCGGATTGCGAATGACAGAGCTAATATGCCAGCCCTCTTCTTTGACCAGAAGATTGGTTAGAAGCAAAGATACCTTACCATGCCCGCCTAAAAGAAGGACACGGGTTGTCGCCATCTTGAGTCTTCGAGTGACTTTCTTGAGTAGAGAGGACCCTGTATGGTGTTTTACGGTAGGGAACAATGATACCCGTTTTCGGAATGCTTTTCACCTTCTTTCCGGCATGAGGACGGCCTGATGGTGCCAAGCCCAGAAATACCTCGGCCTGTTCTTCAACCACAAATAAGCAGAAATTAAGTGAGAGGTTCAACCACTTTCGACAATTGAAACACCCCTCAGTAGAGCGTGCTGCAGTCATGTACCTGTGGCCCAGAGATCTACGTCAGTCTCCAGGAGATGCTGAGGAGGTGCTTTTATGACGGAGACCGCCATGGACGATCCAAACTTCCCACCTGATACCTTGGTGCGGCATGCTCTCTGGACGCAATCTCACAAGAAGTAGAGAGTGATGGAGGGCTACAATACCATCGTTCACAGGCTTGCAGTAACATGCTTCAAGCAAGAGCTGAAGGGGAAAATGTGCATTCCCATATAAATGATCCTTCTCGCTCACAGGCATCGAGAGGGCAACTTTGAGCTGCCAAACATAATTCTTATTTCTTGCATAACCATGTTTGAGTGTTTATTTCCCTAGTGCCTATATCTCAAGCTCTCCATCTCAAACACTTGTGCTCGATACCATGGAGACCGCAGGCTATTGTATAGCCTTTTTTAGTTTCACTGCCCCACATAATCTTGCAAGAGCTTATTACAGTCACCGAGACTAACACGACAACCGTCTTATTCCATCATCTCTTCACGGTTGCTTTACGCGAGGAGCTGCTGGTGCTTTATTTACCATTGACAAACCAGTCCTCGTGAATCAAGAATTTCACGTGTCACCTGGACTTTGTTAGGGATCAAGTGCTCAATATGCTCTTCGACGTTCACAAAGACGTGCCAGCCAAGCGAAGAGCCGTCGATTTAGATTTCGGGTTATCACAAACTACGCACCAATTCAAGGCTATGAGGCTGCAAGCGCCACCACTCCATTGCGATACTCTACCCAAAAGATCAAAAGAGTCTAGCTCTCCTCAGATCGCGCCCAGGATTCCTACCACTGGAACTCAGGGTAAGAATCGCAGGGACCCAGACCGTGGTCAGATACTGATGTATACAGGCCGATTGGGGAAAGCCAAACACCTGCAACCGAACAAATTCCTGCTCGTCTACCTGGCTGCTTGCGTGCTACTTTCCTCAGGAACGAGGCTTGATGAGCCGGTCTTTGAGCACAGTCCTGTCAACCATGGTCTTTCCCGTACGTCAACGTTGGGATCCCGCTCTTTTGGCCTTCACCACGTCCAGAGAATGTTTTTTGCGTGGCTACTTATGTCGACTGCTGCGTCACGAGTGGCAGTGATCAAACTTAAATTCAACTATTGGGCACAACTGGCCTGCTTTCATCCTATGATAGCAGAATCCTTTGGCCTTGAGAAACTGAAAGGCCATCCACATAGTGCAATGTTACGCACGAAACGTCGTCGCAGCATTGTCGTCCGACAGCCGACACAAAATGAACCAGGGCAACATTCCCGGTTGCTTCTTTGTGCAGAGAGACCAGAAATTGTTTGGGATCCAATCGATGTACAACAAATTGGCGCCTTGACTGATCCTGCCTTACGACGACCGCAACTTCAACAATCGCCTCAGATGTATCTGAATCAAGCGCGTCGGATGCTCTTGCTCGACCAGAAGATTACATTCGAACAAAAAGAGTGTATAAGGATGTCTGTGACCAACGAATACTGCGAACTGTTACCAGATAGACCTTGTTGGATGGGAACTCCGCTCGAGCCTATCTGGCCTGGGAAGTGTAGGATCCGAGCTGGCGCCGAACCAACAGGGTACCACGGTCGATTGTGGAGCCAAAAGGGACTGTTTAAAGGTAAACGGAAAGCATCTGAGGCGCACTCTCTGCCACGTAACCTTGTTAAGCGGAAGCAGAAGAGATTGGTAAAAATATTGATGAAAAAGACAGAGGCGCGGAAGGAGCAACACAATCAGCAGAACACTCAATCAATTTTCAGAGCTAATTAAAATAGCACAGGCAGTTCCAGACCGCTTTGAACTAGAATTCACCAGGATGCACTTCTTACCAGCAGAGCCTCATTCCTCTTCAGAAGATTCGCTGAAGGCATCTCTCAGACTCCAACTCCCTGCACTTTCTGCAGCGGTATCTTCAATCGGGGTTACTTCTACAGCAGCATCTTCAGCAGCCTTTTCGTCATCCTCATCAGATTCATCCTCTGAGGATTTGTCCTCCGCATCGTCATCCTCTTCATTCCACCAACCATCGCCCCCCATGACCTCCTTCAATGCAGCTCCTCCATCTGACATATCCTCTTGCATCGACTCGTCAGCCTTCAGAAAACCATCTTTTTTCATGCGGTCCCACAGTGGATGATGCAGTGGAAGCTTAGCGAGGAGCTCAATGCGAGCCACCCGGAGGAATTCCTGCGCCTCTTCACGAGAGTGAAGCAGCCGTCCATATTGGTTGAAGCTGCAAACTACCGGACGATGACTTACAGAGTCGACAGAGTCGGCTGAGAAATTCGCCTGCTCGCCGGTGCTGTTATCAAATTCCTCAGGCACAATAGTGAATCTTGTGAGGCTATTTCGCTCTCCAATGCCATCTTCTGAAGTATCTTCAGAAGTATCAAGATTGTGTACTGGACAGAGTTCGGGGGTTGAGGGTCTGTCTTCGTGGCATTCTGCTTGTGGTTCTTGCAGTACGGTACTGTTGGTCTCACTACTGGCAGTATCTCCCTCCAGACGTACAAAGGGTGACATCTTGAATGAGGAGGTGTTTTCTTTGTTGGATGAAAGACAGAGCTCGGTTTGGTCTCCTGGACAGAGATTGAGAAAGGAAGACTTGAAAACAGATCGGTAGCAAAAGAGAATGCCGTAAGGGGGCCAACGGACAGACTTATGGAAACAAGACCAACAAAGAATGCCACAATCTATTGTGAAGAACACAAGATCTGGCTTTGTTGTTCTGCTCTGCTTTTCATGCGGGTTTGGTAATCAGCTTTCTGCTCAGAACGCCTTTGTCCTTTGGAGCACATTGTTCAAATACTTCTCTTTCTCTTCTCTTCTCATTTTGCGTTTCCCTAAATCCCAAAACCCAGCCCAAACACTAACTCCCTTACACTTCCAGCTATCGTTCGAACCATTGCCATCTGGTCCGTCTAACAAAATAGCAGGTATGCCATTCTTCTGTTCTCATGCCCTCTCTCCATCCTCCTATTTACACCGCAACAAACCCCTACCCCCTAAATCATCAGACACCAAATCCAAGCCCGAACCAGAACTAAAACCAAACCCAAAGCTCATTCCACCCACCACTGCCACAGACATCCGCCCCAGCCAATTCCACGAACACCTCGACCCAAACTCTCCCTCCCTCTCACACCTCCCATCCCCCAAACACGACCGAAAGATCCTATCCCACATCAAACACTTCTTCAAACCCAAACCCGAATCCAAAGTCGAATCCCACCCACCACCAGCACCAACACCAGCAAAAAC